AGATAGATGCAGAGCTCATCAACCAGCTTAGATTTTAAAAAGGCATACATAGAAGGAAACCAGGGCAGGTAACTGAGGGTGAATACAAAAGCATGCCCTAGACCTAGAAGAATAGTGTCAGAAGTGCTAAAAAAAAAAATCAGAATGAGAAGGCTAGTGATGAATGCTAAAGACAGCACAAATGATTTTTTTAAAGCTACACTGGGAAAAAGAAGAGGATCAAAGAAAGAAATGCTGCTGTGGGGTAGATGATTTAATGAAAATAGATGATGGAGAGTAGAGAATTCGCCTCTTATTCTGGCTCTGTTTTCTCTGCGAAAGAGAATGATCTATAGTTTGGAAAGAGCAGAATGAAGCACATTAACAGTGATGTAAAACACAATGTAAGTAAGGAAGTAGTAGGACAGTGCCCAGATGTCTTTGATGAGTCCCAAACACTAGGCCCAGATTACATCACAGGATCCTCAAAGCAGTGGCAGATGTGATTGCCAAGCCTTCTTAGTATTTTTTGAAAGAATGGAAAAGGAACTGAAAGACCGTAGATGGACAAATGTACTGATTTTTAAAAAGAGAAGAAAATTAAGTCTTCAAAGTTTAGGTCAGTAACTTTGATTTCTCTTCTTGGCAAAATTCAAGAAAGCATTATTAGAAGGATGGTGTATAATGATCTAGTAAAGGAAACACTGATCACAGCCAAAAGCCAACACTATTTCCTTAAGGACAGATCATGTCAGACTTAGTTTATTGCCTTTTTTAACAGAGTCTACAGACTATTAGGGGATATTGTATAGTTTGCCTAAATGTTAGCAAAGTGTCTGACAATATGTTAGATTTTTATAAATTAGATCTTAAAGGCATATTAAGAGATAAATAGTGACCAGAACATGGGAGGTCACAGGCCCACTGTATTCTACATATATGGAGTGGTTCTTTTTCAGTTTAGTTTTAGGAAGAACACTGATAAGCTGGAGATCGCCCAGAAGACAGTGACCAGGATGAAGAGAAGATTGATGATCAGATCACATAAATACTACTGAAAGATCTGGGGAAATTTAGCCTGGAGAAGAGATTTGGGGGAGGACATGGTGGGGACCACATGGGTTGGGGTACATAGCCTCTAGAGTCCTTTCTAACCCTATGATTTTGTTTAAAAAAGGTTTTAGTTACAATTAAGGTTTAGTTAAAATTGATGTAGGCAACTGAAAAAAAATTTTTTTCCTATCTACTTTTCCCTTCATTCCTACTTCTCCATTGTGCCATTTTTCTTTGTGCTCTTTTATTGCTGGCCTTCAACGACAGTCATGGTAGCTCACCCAAGGAATAGGACCATCGCTTATTTTTGTGAATAGTATTTACCAACTAGTGAAGCTAAGGCAGATGTCATTTCATTCTCATTTCCTGTGAATTCTTCTCTTCCTCATCATCTCAAAGTTCATTTCTCTAACTTACCCCACCATTCATCCCTTCATGGCAACTTTTAGTAGTAGAAAGAGTTCTATATTTATTAGAAGGCCTGGGTTTGGAGCTTGGCTCTTCCCCTTACTGCCAATATGCCTTCTATGGTCCTCCATTTCTTCATTTGATAATGAAGATGTTAGATGAGATGACCTCTAAGGTTCCCTTAAATTCTAAATAGTAGAATCATATGAGCTGATTGGTTTTAGTATCAGTAGACCATTATTTGACTCATTCCTTCCCCCATATATCTTTACTCAGATTACTCAAGTTCTCCCCTATGAGATGGCCCCAGACACTCCCTCTGCTTATCAGAGTTTGGCCTTATCTAATCTTATTTTCACACAGAGACACACAGAGTTTCCCTTCCAGACTGTTCATTTCTGGCCTGCTACAGGTCTTAATCATTCTAGAATACCAGAAGGGAAGTACTTCCAGCTCCTTTCACAGACAATCCTTCAGTCTTACTCTTCCAGTTTCCTTCTATATCACTGTTTCCCCAACCATCTTCTCCTCAAAGCTGAATCTATTTGAAAACTATAGCTATACTTTCTACAGGACTGGAAAGTATGGAAATATTCAGTACTACAAAGGATAAGACTGGGAAAATGGCGGGGGAGGGAAGGCATGCTACAGAAATCAGCCATTAGGTTTGTTGTTATCATTCAGTCATTTCAGTCATGTCTGACTCTTTGTGGGTTTTTCTTGGCAAAGATACTAGAGTGATTTGCCTTTCCTTCTCCAGCTCATTTTATAGATGAGGAAAATGAGGCAAACAGGGTGAAGTGACTTACCCAGGGTCATACAGCTTGTAAGTGTCTGAGGCCAGATTTGAACTCAGGAAAGTGAGTCTTCCTGATTTCAGGCCCTGTACTCTATTCACTGTACCACCTAGATGCTCAACCAAGGTCTTTCTCCTTCCAAAGCTTTCTCCGGGGTCTTTACATATAAGAAACAAGACGGCAGTATCTCATTAGGCCTCATACGGGGTATTGTGTTCAGTTCTGGGAAGGACAGTGATAAGCTGGATAGTGTCCAAAGGAGAACAAACAAGATGGTGCTTGAAGGGCTCTTAATGAAACAAGGATGGGACTTGTTCTGTTTGATTCCAGAGAATATAACCAGGAGTGATGGGTAAAAGTTGCAAAGATAACAATTTAGGCTTGATGTCAGGAAAAGAACTTCCTAACAAATGGTTCCATCCAAAAGTGGAATGGACTGAATAGAGAGGTAATGAGTTCCCCAATCTTGGAGGTCTTCAAGTCAAACCTGGATGACCAATTGTCACTGTTACAGTGGAGACGCATTTTGCATTTGGATTGGACTAGATGGTGGTGAGATACTTTCCAACCCTCAAATTCTGTAATTAGCTGATTTTAAGATTTCTTCCAAGTCTAAGAGTCTATCTAGAAGGGGAAGGTCAGTAGCAGGATAACCCTGGAATAGGAAAGGGGCGATTGACCTGATGTTGCCCCTGTACCTAGTTTTACCATTTGTAATGTTTATAAAAGCATCTTAGTAACAGAAAGATTCATAACCTGGACCCAAGCAACTTTACCCATTCTACAATCCAGCCTATTTGCTGTTCCTCATATATGACATTCCCTCTCCCATCTCTGTGCCTCTTCCTATTTCCATACTTAGAATGTATTCCCTACTCATCTCTGCTTCTTGGAATTTCCATTTTCCTTCAAAGCTCAGCCAAAGCATCACTTCCTACATGAAGCCTTTCATGATTCCCCCTATTAGCTGCTAAGGCTGTCCTCAAATCACCCTCTATTTATTTTGTATACAATTATATATGTCCATGTTGAACTCCACACCCCACTCCCAATAGCAAGCAAGGTCCTTAGGAGCAGAGACCATTTCTTTTCTGTCTTTGTATCACCAGCACCTAGTACAACACCTGGTATATAATAGGAACTTAATAAATGCTTGTTGATCGATGGAAAGAAGGAAAGAAGCCATTCATTAAGTTTAACTCAAGCTACAACTAGCTTACAGTTCCCGTATTAAAAGAACACGGTCACCACATGAAAGGCACCATTTGACTGGTGTATAGGTAGAAGGGAGAATGGAATACCATCAGTATAAGTAGACAGATGGAGGCTGGGGAAAGGGCAGCTCGCTGACTCTGCCTCTGTTTGACCACCTGTCCTACTTCTTGGGTTCTCTGCAATGGTGGACCTTAATTTGAGTATATATGGGTTAACCATATTACAGCTAAAGATAACAGCAGCATGGCACACAAGAAGGAAAAAAGGGATTCAGGAGACAGTGGGACAAGAGGATCAGGGAACAGGACTAATCTTTCTTCAGGCATTTAAAACAAAATAAGATATAGAGACTCTTTCCACAACCTGTTTGGTCATGAAGTGAGGGAGAAAAAAGTTGTATCTTGGACATATTCCCAAAGAACTTACTGGATAAGTGATTTCTGTTAGGATTATTTGTTTGTTCATTCATTCTTTTAAACACTTACCAAGTGCCTATGATAGTTGGGAATATTAGTATACATAAGACAGTCCTTTCCCTTCATGAGTTTATAATCTAGTAGAGGGGCATAATCTGTATTTATTTTGGTACTTTCCAGCCATCTCCAGGCACTCCAGCTACCACCGCCTTCACCTCTTTTCATCAAAAGATGAGCTGGGCCATCTCTAGTTGTCCTGATCTATATCTGTCCACTGGACCCAGATGGCTCTGGAGGAGAAAGTGAGGCTGGTGACCTTGCACAGCCCTCCCTCACTTAAATCCAATTCACTTGCAAGTCATGGCATCACCTTACTGATGTCATGGTCCTCTTGGAGAATGAAAGAAAAACCATGCGCACAATCAAAAGCTGAACTCCAGCCCCTGAGAACCTGGGCCCTGACTGGTGAATTTTCATCTCATTTTGTCCAATCCCAAGCCTACTGAACCACTTCCCGGTTGTCTCCAAGCTATGCTATCTCACATGAAGCCTCCATTTACCTTCCCCCCTTTCCAATATGAACTCTCATATGTACCGTCTTCCTCTATTTTAGAAATCCTTGTGGAAAGGGTCTGCCTTGCGTTCCTGTATTTGTATTTCTAGCACTTAGCACATAGCAAGCACTTAATAAATACTTCTTCATTCATTCATTTCTTAGATATTTTGTGTTTATTTATTGGTGTTTTGGTTTCCCCAAGCAGGGGCCATCTTGCTGTATTGTATTTGTATCCCTAATACAAGTTCTTGGCATATAGTAAGCGAGATATGTGTATATGTGTGTGTATGTGTATGTATATATACAAGTATATGTTTATATATTTGTGTCTTGATATATATTTTCTTTCATTCTGTACATACTAATATTAATTTCTTAGTTTACTGATTTCCACCCCTGAAGGCAGGGACTGTTTCTTTTCTGTCTTTGTCTCCCCAGCATCTAGTCTAGGTCTGACACATAATAGGTTATATATAAACATATGAAAGTTAATTGAATAAAATATGTACATGAAAAAAATACAGGGTTACTCCTCTTCTCCCCCCAATAAAAGGAAGAGGAAAAATGGACAAATACCTGGGTCGAGGGCTGCTCCTTCCAGAGAGATGATGCAGAACAGTTTAATCAGATCTCCTCGATACACTGTTGGAGTGTCAGAATGCACTGAGACGTTAAATATGGGCCCTGGAAGAAAGTAATTGTGATCCCGTTACTTCTATTGCCTCGGTTCAAAATTTAACTCCAACTCTTAAAATAAATTTTTACATGAGTTTAAAAACATACAGCTTCTTCTCACTTAGAACTAGTCTGGGAATATCCACTAAAAGATCTTTTCTACATTCAGATACCAAAAGCTTAACTCTGCCAAATGAATTGCATCTGAAAATCATGAGTAATTTTTTTTCTTCCCTTTTCCTTTCTGTGATGCCAAAGGAAGCATGCTCATTTGCAGGCCCTACAGAAGGTCCCTTATCATGGCTTATTGTTATTGGTAGGGTTCACTACTGGGTAATGAACTTGGCAGTCTTAGTAATGGTGGTTACTGGATATCCCTCTTAGAATTCTAACTTTAGAGGAACTGGAATTGGAATCGTCACATCGGTCTCTCTGAGGACCACCCTGCCTCGCCACCCCCCACCAAATACAGAGGGTAATGATGTAGCTCTTTGAAAAGGGGACTGAGAGTGTTACATCTCATTAGATTCTTAGGAGGTAGATCATACATCTAGTGACATAGATAGATACAAATACAAGTTAACTCTAGGTGGGGAACAGTGTTCTCAAAATTTTGGTAGTTGTGAGCTGATGACAATGTTACAAAGCAACCCATACAAAGCAGGGCTTAGCACAGTAATTAAATAATATTTTAATGGCAAAATTAATCAGACATATACTTAATGATAAGCATAAGTGTCATTATTCTACACAGTAATTAGATGCACATGGCAAACCATTCACATAAATGAAAATGAATGACAGGATGGCAGATTTAGAATGGGAAAGGCCCATAGAGGTCATGTAGACCAATGCTTTCATTTTACAGATGAAGAAATTTAGGCCTACAGATGTTAAGTGACTCAGCCATGTTCACACAGGAAATAAGCCACCAGTCAAACCCGGGACATTTCACTACAACTCCATACCCCTTTCCATTGTCAGTCATTCAGTTATGTCCGACTCTTTGTGATTCCATATAGGGTAAGGTAAAGATACTGGAGTGGTTTGCCATTTCCTTCTTCAGTGGATTAAGGCAAACAGAGGTTAAGTGACTTGCCCAGGGTCACACAGCTAATAAGTGTCTAAGGCTGGATTTGAACTCAGGTCTTCCTGACTCCAGGCTCAGAGCTCTATCCACTGAGTCACCTAGCTGCCTCCACTCTTCCACTGCATTGATTCAAATTAAGCATTTATAAAGTCAGCTAAAAGAAAGGGGTAGTCTTGGACAAGAGATTAGATGTTGTAGCCTCTAACTTCAACCTCTGTCAGACCAATTTGTTGTTCTTCTTATGGTTCTGATTCTAGGAAAGAGTGAAGTCTAGAGTCAACCCCATTTCTCCCCAGCCCAGGACCTCCCTGTCTATCCTGGGCAGGCTCCCATTACTTGGGGATGGGCATACTTATCAGCCAGGGTTTCCAGGGCTATAAAGAGGCCCTGTCCAGACTTCCAAGAAGTAAGGAAAACAGACCACAGCTATGGACTGTGTGGATTCTTGGGTTTATCAAGGGATGCCAGTGAAAAGTAACACTCTCTTCTCTGATTAGACAAAGAGGGAAACAGGCCCATATTCAGAAGTTGGCAGCTAAGGCAAAGGCAAAGAGATGAAGGCTACCCTTCTTTGCCCACCCTCTCCCCCCAAAAAAATCCTGGCAGAGTATTAAAGTCTGCATGGGGAGGGTATTTTGTAATGGTACCATTTAATCCAATTTCAATCATATTGCTTTCTTAACAACAAGTGTCCAGGGAATGGCAATTTTGTTGGGGAGAGTAATTCAGAAATAGGGCAGGCAATTCTGGGTAGGACGCTGGGCTTGGACAGCATAAATGCTCCGAGTTACAAGACGGGTACGAGAGGGGTGGCCCAGCAGGCAAGACAGTCACAGAAAAGGATGTGCCAAGGACAAATTTCACCTCTAGATGGACCTCCAGCCAGCCCTCCTCCCCCTCTTCCCCAGGCAGTTATTTGACTCTTTCTAGGTCTTGCTCTTCCTCTTTTCTGCCCCATCATAGTGAGGTGACAACTAGCCTGACCCACTAATGCTCAACCAGGGGTTTCAAAGCTGGATGTGGAGGTACTTTATTCAAAACTTAGCAGAAACAGAGGAGAAAGTGATCACAATTTTTTGTTGTCCAGTCATTTCAATCACGTCTGATTGTTCATGATCCTATTTGGAGTTTTCTTGGCAAAGATATTGAGGTTTCTTATTTCCTTCTCCAGCTCGTTTTACAGATAAGGAAACTAAGACAAACAGGGTTAAATGACTTGCCCAGGGTCACACAGCTAGTATGTGTCTGAGGCCAGATTTTCCAGATTTCCTTAGGAAACCTCAATTTAAGAGTGCCTGTATTTCTCATTCTCCCTGTTTGCCATGGTGCAGGATAAAGTTTCCATCACAACACTGATGCTAGGAACAAGATTTTTTTTTTTTGTGGGGGAGAGGTGGCATGTATGCAGTAATGAATTATGCATGGTAGCAACTTATTAGTAATGAAGACAATGCTGTCAGCACAGATCTTTAAGGTCTGAAATACTTTCGTTATGCTGAATTTTCATGGTAATGGTATTTCTTGAATTGGACTTGGACCAATTCACTTAGAGGATCATGGAAAAAAAGTTTGAAGGGGTGTTAGAGCTCCTTTAGTTTTATAGATAAGAAAAGTGAGGCGTAGGGAGTTAAAGTGTCTTGTCTTGAGTTAAACAGAGAGTAAGCCCAGATCCAAACCTAGATTCTCTGACTCTGCGGTCTGTGCCCCTTCTACTATCTTACCCTAATTTCCTAAATGAGAAAGACGGGCCTAGACTAGGAATCAGGGGATCAAAGTTCTAGTCAAGGGTTCCCTCTTTGGGCTTCAGTTTCCCAATCTCTAAAATTCAGGAGGTGAACTAGATAATCTCACAGACAGAGCTTTTCCAGCTCTGATATTATGCTCCTAAAAGTTGAGTGAAATGAGTCAAATTCCTAGAGGTCTCTCAACTCCCAATCTACTGGAGAGTGCATTTGACCACACTGTCTTTCAAAATGCTATCCAAGGTCAGACCCTATCACCTCTGACCTGAACTGCTGGCAATATAGTCATCAACAGAACCTCACAAAGCATGTATTTCTAGGCTGTCCTCTCTCCAAACCATTCCCCAAACAGCTACCAAATAAATCTTCCTGAAGCACCTCTAGTCCCACAGTTTAACCATCTCACTCCTGCTCAGAAATCTTCAATGATTCCCTCTTTCTCTAGGATAAAATATCAACTCCTCAGCCTGGAATGTAGGGCCCTTAGGGCTTTTCACAGCCTGCTTTCCATCTACCTTTTCAGACTCGTTTCACAGTATCTCTCTTCACATACTCTGTTCCAGACAAGCCTGCCTACCGACTGTTTCCCAAACCTGACACTCCATCTATTTTCTCCCAGTATCTGCACAAACACAGGCTGTTCCCTCTGTAACACACACTTTCTTTTCACCTCCATCTATTAGCAATCTCTAGTCTCTTTTCAAGGTTCAGTGCAGGTACTCTGGTCTTTCCTGATCTCCCCAGTTAGTGATCTCCTCATCTTCACCTTGTCTCATATTTATTTTGTTGTGTATTTGTTATATACCCCATCGGAATACGCCCTCCCTAGGGAGGGGATGGGGAAGAGTGTTTCTTTATTGTCTTTGAATCCTTAGGACCAAGCACAGTGCCTTTGGGCATGATGCTTACAAATGTCTGTTGAATTGAACAAGAAGCAGAGATATGAAAGAAGGCTACTTTCGATCACATTAATATAGATTCCACTCCCCACCAATACCCCAAGTCATTAAAAACGAAGTAAAGTACTAACCAGTGGAAAAGCACCAGAGGGAATACCCAGGGAAAAATGAGATGGGGCCAGAGGAAGAGAGGGAAATTAGTCACCAGGGAGAGATGCATTATAAAACGTGGCTTAAGGCTTGCTGCACACTTAAGTGATAGCTCTTTTGTTTTCAGGATGGATCAAGTGCTGTCTGGAGCCGTGGCCTTCTATGGAGCACTCAGTCTTGATGGTAACTTATTTTTAGTGAAATAAGGGAATCTTCCTCAAGACTGAACAAACAATTCCAAAGGTTTGGTAAGAAGGGGAAAGAGCTTGGGCATTAATTTCAGTCTAGAAGCTACAGACAATAAAGACAAGCATCACATGACCTTCTCTCTTCTGATTTGGGAAATTTAAGAGTATTTCCTATATGTAATTAATTCTTGAATGGTTAGTTTAGAAAATATAAAGGAATAAATGAACAGTCATCATGGAAATGACTTCTAATTAGGGGTCAAGAGGGCAGTCACAAGAAACATTAGTAGAAGTGGCCTGCACCTCATGGAGAACATCACTTTCCCCTCCTGCATCCCAAGAATGGGGAAAACGGCTGAGGAATTTTCAGTGGCCCAAGTTTAGTTCCCCTATAACAGTAAGTCAACAACTTGAAACTTGTGATGAACTGGCCTCATTTTTCCTTGTGCAAGGTTATTAAGCTATTAAAGCTAAAAAACTGCACTAAGACTTTGAGACCTACACATTTTTAAAAAATCTCTATTACTCGTTGCTGTTCTTAGCAAAGACAGACAGACCGACAGACACATTCCACCTCCACACAGCTGCCCTGGGTACTCTGCCAAGCACACAAGCACAGAGGGAGTTGTTTGCCAAACCAGACGCAATGCCAATGGAATGAAGATGAAACTGTCTTCCCGTGTATGGAAATACTGCTTTGATTTTGGGGGTGGGGAGGAGAGGGCTGGAGGAAGTCTATGCCTGTCATTTCATCACTGTAGGGATTCCTTCCACAGATTCCAAGCAGCCACTCACCTGTAATATACAGTCTTACAAAATTGCCTGTGACTCAGATAGGGGAAGCCCTTTGCCCATGGTCCATAGAGCTGTTACGTATCAAAGGCAGAATCTGAACCCAGGTCTTCTTGATTCCTAAGCCAGATCTTTTATTTACCATGCCATGCTGCCTTGATAAGTCAGACTAATAAAAGTTATGGTGCACGTCTGTACCAGACTCCCCACCCCAAGCCCAACCACTTATGTAACCTTGGGCAAAGAAAACATTTCCCCTCTCTCAGCCTCAGTTTCTTCTTCTGTAAAATGAGGGGGTGGGCTTAGATCACCTCTAAGGTGACACTGAGCTCTACAATTTTATTCTTCTATGATTCCACCTCAATTCTACACCAACCTGTGGTTTGGAAGTCTATCAGAATTGGATTAGATAAACTGGTCCCTGCTTCTCTCCACAAGTTGCCTCCAGCGGGGGACCAGGCTGTTACCACACAGCGGTACAGGCCAGCATCGGACACCTGAGTCTGGTACATTCGATAGCGGAATTCATCTTCTTGGACCTTTTCCAGCACTACTCCATCAGCCCGGGCCTCATCAGTCCAATTCTCCAGCTTCACCACTGAATCCTGGTCTAAGGAGATGATGTGCTTCGTCTCGTTGGGGCTGAAGGGGTCTGCCGCAGGCTTCTCAGCTGTGACGAGGACTGAATACCGAGGAGTCTTTATGTGCTCAGAGGAAACCTTACAAGTCATCTCAAAAGTATTTCCTGCAGCAAAGAAAGGCTTTGCCTTCCTCGCCTTCACGAGGAGCACAGAATCTGAAATACAGCATCAAAAGAAATTAATTACAGAAGGGACTTAGGACAGTCAGACTTTTTGCTCCCAGATATTATCAAAGAAGCGCTCACTCATTTGAACACCGTCCTAGACATGCACTTGCTCCCCAAAGCTGGAGAGTCAAGGAGGAAAAAAAACGTGGATTGGAGGACAAGCTGAAAATCACTAAAGAGGCAGGATGAGTTCCAACCACAGAGGGGCGGGGAGAGTTGAGTCGGGGAAAATTTGGTTCTGGGCCACTGGAAGATGTATTAGAGGATGAACTGGGGAAAGTCTAGGGAGGCTCCTACTGTCTCTAACAGGGTACTCTGGGTGGCTCTGGAGAACCCCAGGATTATTGGTACTGTACAAAGACAGTTCCCGGGCAGCTAGGTGGCACAGTGGATAGAGCACTGGCCCTGGATTCAGGAGGACCTGAGTTCAAATCTGACCTCAGACACATAACACTTACTACCTGTTACTCTGGGCAAGTCACTTAACCCCATTGCCTAACCAAAAACAAAACAAAACAAAACAAACAAACAAACAAACAAAAAACAAAGACAGTTCCCTCTCCTTTCTACCCCATATCTCTCATCTCCCTTTTCCCCTGCCTGCACTCTTCTGCCCTACCTCCTCATTCCACAGATCAATCCAGTTCAGCAGGTGAAAACTGCTAAATGTCAGGACATGGGGGTGGGACCTAGGGCTACTCGGTTCAGAGCAGGACTTCATGTCTTACCCCCATTCACTCAGCCTTTGGAATCTGTTCTGATTGACGGACCAGTAAGTGAAAACTCATCATATCCACCCTATCTATCCCATGTAAGACCATGCTTCACAACACACCCAGTAGGACACGAGGGTTGACCCAGCATGGATACGCTACTAATCTGCCCTGCCTATATGTATTCCTCTGCACCCTATTATTCCCATTTTCCAGCTTTTACTCTAGAAAAAAAGCATCCACATAACTGGAAAGGACATGGCAATCTGCTCCCCCACAGCTCCACTCACAATCCCTGTGGCTTCCCCATCCAAAACTTCGCCTGGCCATCAATCCCCTCTATGTGCTGTATCTCCTATTAGAATTTAAGCTTCTAGGGGCAGCTAGGTGGTGCGGTGGATAGAGCACTGGCCCTGGATTCAGCAGGACCTGAGTTCAAATCCAGCCTCAGATACATAACACTTACTAGCTGTGTGACCCTGGGCAAGTCACTTAATCCCATTACCTAGCCCCAAAAGCAAAATAAAACAACAACAACAACAACAAAAAGAATTTAAGCTTCTAGAGTGAAGACTTATTCACTTTTGCATGTGTATAGTACCTAACAATGCCTGGAACATACTAAGTGGTTAATGAAGTCGTTGAGTTCCTAAATCAATCCCTAACAAGTCACTTAATCCCTGACACTTAAGTTTCCTCACTTGCAAAATGGAAATGCTTGTGCTATATACCTATCTCACTTTAAAGTAAAGTGAAGAAAATGCTACAGAAATGTGAAAGCACTATGGAAAAATCATCATCACCATTTTCATCCTGGGGAATAAAAAAGTCATCATGTGATACTTTGCAGTGCACACAGTAGGCACTTGATGTTTATGCACATGAATTGAAATGAGCCAGATTCTGGTTCTCTATCTTGTTGGACATACAGTAAGTACTGCTTGCTGAACTGGATCATCTGTGGGGTAAGGGATGGAGCAGACGAATGGCCGAGAGGGCAAAGATGGGATAAGAGGCAGGAACTGCCTTCAGGCGCTTCTGAAAACTCATTCCGCCAATGTTTTCTGAACGCCTTGTGTGTGCAAGTCACAGTGAGGAGAACAGAGAATAAGACTGCCCCTGTCCTGTGGAGCTGACCACATAGTAGAAGAAAAAAAGAATCATATATAGTGTCCGAAAAGTCTTAGTGCAGCTTAAAGCTTTCACAGATTAAAATATAAGACTTTTGGTACATTCTGTACAATTCGTATACTTTAACACTGTAGCCCAAAGCTTAGGGATTAAGTATAGTTAGCACTGCTATAATATGCTCCTAAACATGCTGCTGCTATAACGTGCTCCTAAAAAACCATGTCGTTATGCAAAATTGTCCAATAAAAAACACAAGCTTATGGGAAAAATGGGGTTAGGAGCACAATCTGTCCAGCCATAATTGTTTCTTTTATTTTTGCAACATTGCCTCTGATGGGCCACAATGTGGATTCCTTTATGTCTGTTGCTTGGGAGATATGACACGTTCTCTGGTGTCTCCCAAAAGGCTTTATTGATTCACATTTCTTCTCAACACTTGAAATTTTCCTTTAGAATGCACTGATTAGAATTTTTGAACCAGAATGCTTAGATGTTTGGGGATATTTAATGAATATGCATGTGTGTACACACACATATACGTATGTATGTATAGGTATGTGGATACATGTATGCATATGTATATACACAGTTATATTTATGCGCATGTGTGCATATATATTATGTATTGAATATATACACATATACACACACATATGCACAAAGCTCACAAACATTAAAGAATAACAAAACACAAACTTAGAGGATAACGATATACATACACGAAGTGAAATGAGGTAGCTGGCAGATATTTAAGGGCAGTGGGGGTGGGCATTTTGTGTATTCCTATATAGCTCAGGTCAGGTGGGTATAGCTTTCTACATTCACTTAGTGTTTCTTGTGGATGAAATCACACATAAGCAAACATGAAATTCACATGATGCTGAAATTGTTCCCTAATATATCAATGTGCAGCTGGAACAAAAACAAGCATTGTAACAGAATTACCATACCAAAACAGGGCCATGGTCTGCTCTGTCCTCAAGTGGTAGTACCCAGATGATAAGTAACTATAATGAGAGTCTACACGGCATAGTGGCTAGAATGCCTGACTTCAGACTCAGACACTCATCAACTATGTGACCACGAGAACACCATAACCTCTCAGTTTCCTCATCTGTCAAAAGTACTTACCTCAGATCACAAAAGTTCAAAAGAGATGATGTGCTTTGTAAACAAAGTGCTATGTAACTACTAATTATTATTGTTGTCACTATTACTTATTATTATACTATCTACCTCTCAGAGGGTTGTTGAGAAGAAAGCAATTTGCCAATCTTAAAGCACTAAATACACCTTTGCCCCATAAACTTATAGGCCTGGAGTCAAGAAGACCTGACTTCAAATGTAGCCTCAGATACTACCTATGTACCTTGGGCATGTCACTTAACCTTTGCCTCAGTTTCCCCATCTGTAAAATGGGCATGATAATAGCATCTACCTGCCAGGGTTGTTATTAAAAGGTAGTTATTACTACTGCTGCCACTGCTGCTGTTGTTGCTGCTACTACTAGGAAAGAGGAGTTACTACTCAGTAAGAGGAATCATCGTTCCTACCTTCCACAACCCAAAAAATGTTGACAGGCTTGGATACGACTTCCTTGCTTTTCATCCAGCTTTTGTTATGCTGTCTGGTCCATGCAGACACAACACAGTAGTAATTTCCTCTGTCTCCCTCTGAAGTCCTCTGAATACGAAAACTAAACCTGGCCCCATCCTCCTTGGAGAAAATAATCTCCCCATTCTGTGCCCTCTGCCTACTCTTCTCCCCAAATCTCAGGGTCCAGTCTGCATCCATGGTGGCAAGTAGCTCATCGGACACCACTTCATCACTGCGAGAGTCCATCCTGTAGTACCAAGAAACAGTGAAGCGGACGTTGGCATCTGCATTCCTCACATCTGCTATCTGGCACTCCAGCTCTGTGGGATCATCCAGGTACTCAGGGACCCTAGAAGCATTCATCAGCACCTCAAACAGCGGCTCTGTGAAAGAAAAGGGAAGACAGAAGGGCTCAGAAAGAGCAACCCACCACAGAGATAGCACGAGACAGTGAAGTTTTGGGTTTTCTAAGCCACAGGATTGTTTTTATTCATACAATTGTAAGCTTAAACATCAAATAAAATGGGTATCTCTATATACAAATTACAACAGAAAATGAAGATTGTATATGAAACTGCAGAACTCTTATGAAGTTCAGCTTGCTTTTCTTGTAAAATCTGTAATAAATTCAACCTGCAATGTTCAAAGATGCCACGTTTGTTTGTGACTTTCTGGTCTCACTTCTGATCTCTTCTGTGCATGTCTTAGAAAAAGCCAATGACCCTCTTTTTTTTTTTTTGCTGCTACCTTATCTCTGTCCTGCACTCTCCCTACCACCACCCAGCCACTAGGAAATAAAAAAAGAAAAACACACCATTGTAACAAATATGCAGAATCAGGCAAAACACATCTCTATATAGACTGTCTGAAAATCATATGCTTCCACAATCTGCATCTCAACTATATCACCTCTGTGTCCTAAGGTGGGCAGCACACTTCAACATCAATCCTTTGACATCTCAACGGGTCACTGTATTGATCAGAATTCTGAAGTCTTTTAAAATTGCCTGTTTTTACAATATTGTTGCTGTATAAAATATTCTCCTGGTTCTGTTCACTTTAATATATATATCAGATGATATAAATTTTCCCAAGTTTCTCTAAAACTGAACCACAAGCCTAAAATGTTAGAGTTAGAAGGGACCCCCAGTGAATATCTAATTAGCCTCCCTTATCTTATAGATGAGGAAACTAGGGCCAAAAAGGAAGTGATCTATCCAAGGTCAAACAGGCAGAAAATTTTCCGATCTCTATGAATACAGCATCCCCTACAATAGTGAAATATGAGAGAGAGAGAGAAAGAAAGAGAAAGAGAGAGAAGGGAAGAGAAGAAGAGAAAGAAAGAAGGAAAGAGAGGGAGGAAGGAAGAGAGAGAGAGAGAGAGAAAGAGAGAGAGAGAAGGGAAGAAGTGAAGAAGAGAAAGAAAGAAAGAAAAGGAAGGAGAGGGAGGAAGGAAGAGAGAGAAAGAGAGAGAGAGAAGGGAAGAGGAGTAGAAGAGAAAGAAAAGAAGGAAGAAGAGGGACAAAGGAAGAGAGAGAGAGAGAGAGAGAGAGAGAGAGAGAGAGAGAGAGAGAGAAAGGAAGAAAGGAAGGAAAAAAGGGAAAAAGAAAGAAAGAAAATCCTAAACTTCCAGAGCTGACTCCTGGTCCTGACTCCCAATCCAGAATTCATTTACACACCACGTGGCACTTCACTCTGACAGATTTCAGTAAGAGTCCATTAATCATCTCTCCTACTATATACAAATGATAAAATCCAAGAGATAGAAGACAATGTGAAGTCATCCAGTTCAAACTGCTCTCTAATAGATGCAGGAGCTGAGGCCCAGAGGCGTGTTTCACAAAAGTCACAGAGCTCATCTGGGGCAAATTCAGGACTTGAATCCAGATCTCCAGCCTCCCGGTGCCACTGTTCTTTCCACAGTTTCTCATGGCTGTATAAGTTCAATTAAGGCTTCTCTGATTGAACAGAAGGATCTAGGAAAAGATTTGTTTCCAAACCTAAATAACACTGATAAACATGGCAAGAAATGAAGCTCGTGAAAAGACACTTTTCAGAACTTTTAAAATATTCACAGAGATTCTCAATTTACAGCTGGAGAAACTTCAGAAGCCATCTAGTTCCATTTAGTTCAAACCATCTTGTTTTCAAATGAGAATAGTGGAGCCCAGGGTAGTTAAATGACTTGCCCAAGATCACAAAGTATTAAGTGTAAAAGGCAGGATTTGAACCCATGTCGTCAGACAGCAGAGTTTGTGCCTTTTATCAAGCACTAGGCTAGATGCAAACCTTAAAGCACCATATAAATACTAAGTTGGTGCTGAGGATACAAAGATAAAATAAAACAGCTCCCATATTCAAGAAGTTTCCATAGTATTTTAATATTTCTTAAAGAAATGGAAACTTCCCTTTATTCATTCATGATCATCTATTAGAGCAGCTAGGTGGCGCCAGAGTGCACACAGCGCTGGGCCTGGAGTCAGGCCGACTCAATTTCCTGAGTTCAAATCTGTCCCCAGACTTTTACTAGCAGAGTGACCCTAGAAAAGTCATTTAACCCTGTTTGCTTTGGTTTCCTCATCTGTAAAATGAGCTGGAGAAGGAAATGGCAAACCACTCCAGTATCTTTGCTAAGAAAACCCCAAATGGGGTCACCAAGAATGGACATGAAATGACTGAACGACAGTAACAACTATTAAAGACAACAGGACTAGAAGCTAGAACATCTCAGTCTGACACCTGGCTCTGCCACTTACTGGCCATATGACCCTGAGCAAGTCATGTTCACCTCTCTAAGCCTCCGCTTCCCTCATCTTGGAGGATCTCCAAGGTTCCCTCTAGCAACGGCCTTCTGTGATTCTGTAAATGCACCTCTCACGCTCAATCTCCCACCATCCTTTCTGTCCAAATCACCTTGACTAAACAACTTAGTTTCACCTATGACTCATCTGGATTATAAACTGTTGAGGTCATGGTGCTCATCTTTGGTGATTTACATGTCGGATGAAATTTACAGCTTTGTGACTAAGCCAAGTGACTTACATCATTTAGGGGACAAGAAATGGAACAGAATTTTGAATTTCCCCCCCCCATGTACGAAGATGAAAAACACCAGAATTCCTCATTATGAATTGAATTTGGACCACTAGAAGTTCTCACCATTGTCTCTGCCATTTTTGCTTTCAATGATTCAAGCTCATCTTTTATTGGAAAAATCCTCCCCTGAGGAAAAGCCACCTTACTGCCTAATTCTCTTAGATGTTTCCAAGCGTACAAAATGTTTATGATTCTTTTGTGAAATTGTAGATGATCATCTGTAGCTATAAATTACTGTTATAAAATATTGGGCAGCTAAGTGGCGGCATAGTGCATAGGGTGCTGGCCCTGGAGACACGAAGACTTCCTGAGTTCAAATACGGCCTCAGTAGCTGTGACCCTGGGCAAGTCAGTTACTCCTGTCTGCTTCAGTTTCCTCATTTGCAAAATGAGCTGGAGGAGGAAATGACAAATCACTCCGGTATCTTTGCCAAGAAAACTCCAAATGGGGTCATGAAGAGTCAGACACAAGTGAACAACAAAATTTTTCTTAGTTATACACAATTTGTATTTTTGAAGCTTGTAGCTATGAATCTGCAACTTAAATGTGCTTCATTAATTTTATTTATTTATTTGCTGAATTTCTTTTGCCAAGAGGCAGTATAGCTTGGTGGACAGAGAGTTGGCCTCAAAGTTATGAAGACCCGAGCTCAATTCCTGTCTCAGACATATACTGGTTATGCAGTCCCTGTGCAAGTTACTTAACCTCTAGAGACAGCTAGTGGATAAAACTCAGTCGTTAAACCTCTGGTCCTGGAGTCGGGAAGACCTAAGTTCAAATTCAGCCTCAGACACTTACTAGCTGTGTGACCCTGGGCAAATCACTTAACTTCCATCTGCCTCAGTTTCTTCAACTGTAAAATGCAGGTCACAATAGTACCTATCTTCCAAGATTGTTGTGAGAATCAAATGGGATAATATTTGTGAAGTGCTTGGCACGTAGTAGGTGGTTACTAAATCCTTCCTTCCTTTTTTCCTTCCTTCCTTCCCTCTCTCCCTCCTTCTTCCTTTCCTTCCTTTCCCTCAGTGCCTTAGGCCTTAACCAAAGAGATCATATAGTCAGTCCCTATTCCTTCATTCTTTTCTATAAAACATCATCTTCCTATTTGTATGCAGGATTAGGACCATCCCAATACAAAGCAAAATAAAATAAAAGGGTCACTTGCCTCTCAGTGAGAGATGAGAAAAATATTAAATACCATATCGTTCACTTTGCACCTGCAGCAGAAACCCCTCACAAATCACATGGCCTCTGCTGAAGACCTCCAGTAATGGGGGACTCATTCTTCCCATGAAGCCTATCAGACTTTGAACAGTTCTGATGATTAAGAGATTTCTCCTTATTTGGAAGCAAAATCTGCTACTCTGTACAGACACCATATTAACTCCTCAGGAAAGCTAATACTGATGAATACTGATATAAACACATTTAAAAAATATCACAGAATCTCATTCTTTTTCTGAATCTCATTCTTAAGAGATAACCTAGGGGCAGCTAGGTGGTATAGTGAATAGAGCACCAGCCCTGGAGTCAGGAGAACTTGAGGTCAAATTCAGCCTCAGAGACTTATTAGCTGTGTGAAATCCCTTGACCCAGAGTGCCTCTGAGAGAGAGAGAAGGCAGAAGAGAGAGAAAGGAGGGAGAAGAGAGAGAGATAGAGGAAGGAGAGAGAGAGAGAAGAGGGAGAGAGAGAGAGAACAGGGGGAGAAAGAGAGAGATAGAAAGAGAGAGAGGAGGGAGAGAGGAGGGAAAAGAGATAGAGGAAGGAGAGAGAGATGAGGGAGAAGAGAGAGGGGGAGAAGGAGAGAACGAGACAGAATCTAGCTCACTGTGATCATTTTTCAATAAATCAAAGAAAGATGACATGCCTCATTCTCGGTCATACCACTAGTGAGGATCAGAACGTACCTTCAGTGTTCTCTCTAATGTTTTACTTTCCCTCTTTAATGTAGTAAAAAGAGCAGTGGACAAAGTATTAGGAGGCAGATTAGTTTCAGATCTGTTGCTAGCTACTTGTGTAACCTTGGGCAAATCACAAATTCTCTGGCTTTAGTACTCTCATAAATAATATACTCCATATTTTCATCACGGGCCAGTCACTGAACCTCGCTGGGCCTCAGTTTCCCCACTTGTAAAATGCAAATAATCAAAATAGTAGCAATTTACAAATAGCTTTAACATCTCTGCTCTCTCATTTGATCCTCAGAAAAACTGAGACAGTTATGATTATCCCCATTTTATGGTGGAGGAAACAGTTTCAAAGAGGTAAAGTGGTTTGTGCAGTCA